TTCTTATTCTGTGCTGAACCTTATTTAGTCGCAAGGTTTGTAATGTTAATTTCATTTTTTTTTTTCGATTTTATTATTTCAATTCGAGTTTTTAAGTAAACATGATAAAGTTTTATTATGAAAAGGTATGGTTTTTTTTGTATGATAATTACTATTATTATTATTATTTCAGAAAGTTAAAATATTAGAATTTGATAAAGAAAATTTTAAAATTCGAGCGAAAGGATATGGTGAACCTTTTCAAATTGGAAAACATCCTCAAGGTGCCGATGTTAAAGCAATTACTTATTCGAATATGCAAATTTATGATAAACAAAATCAACATGAAGTTTTTGTTATTGTTGATATTTGATTTTTAAAATTAACTTAATATTAATAATAATAATAATAATAATAATAATAAATAATAAGTATTTAACATAAGTTTTATTGATATTCAATAATCATCATAGGACTTTGAGAAGATGGGGAAAAAAAAAAAAATTTTTCTCTTTTCTCTTTCGATTAAAACTTTTTTTATTTATTTTAATGATGTAAGACGAATACAATTTTTTTTTTGTATTCTTTCTTGTAATCAATTGATTACTACATCCATGTTTATTTTATTTCTTTTGGAAAAATCTTTTATCTTTGATTTATCTGTTTACTTGCACATCATTTGTTTTATCAATTTTTGTCGAACAGCAGGTAAATGGTAAAAGGTAAAGGAATAAAATTATAAATGAAAAAAAAAAACTGTTTAAATGATCGATGATGATAATAATAATTCATTTGTAATTTTAAAGTAATATTTTAAAATAAAACTTAAAAAAAAAAAAAAAACAATCAATAACATCGTTAAAACACAATAAATTAAATTCTGTCTATTTCATAAAATAAATAATAGATGGCAGGGCTAACGGTTTGTTTACAAAATTAGTTATAATTTTCAACTATAGATGTCGGTAATAATTAATAATAATTCGGATTAAATTTACGGCGATTACAATACGCGTAACGGCCCCCCACAAAAAAAAAAAAATTTTTATTTTAAATCTGTTTTCCTATTTAATTACTCCGACGTATTATTATTATGATATTAACCTTATTGTTTATTGTATTCAAATTTTAATAAAATAATAATGATGATGATGATGATGATGATGTAAATGTCGATGCGGATTTAAATAGGGCCGGGGTCATCGTTTCGGTTCAGATAAGTAAATCAAAAAAAGGTAAAAGAAGCAATTTATGGAAATAAAATCGTTCAACCGGATGAAATATCGAACGTGTAAATTACGTAATAACGAAATATTAATAATAATGATAATAATTTACGTAATAATAATAATAATAATAATAACATGCACGAAAAATCTCAACAGATGGCAAAAAAAAAAAAAAAATATGCGAAGGTTAAAAATTTTTCAAAAAAATCAATCCGTTCTGTGGGGAATGGGAAGGGGAGGGAAAATATCATCATTATCTTTAATATTATTTACCCAAAACTTCGTCTTTCCTTTTT